CAACTGGCTTAACAATGAAAACCAGGTCAAAAACAGAAACCATAGAGGAATAATGCCTCTTTATGAGTGACACTATTTAAGGAGACATGTGATCCTCAATCTCACTAAAGATTTCTGCTATCTTTGTTCTGGACCTGATGCCCAGTTTGACTTTGGCATCATTAATCTCCACATGCTGCAGTAAATTACTGTCATTTAAAGAGTTATTTCTTAAAAAGATTACACCAAAATACTAAAACATTTCCAACTTCTTACAATGTTTATTAAAAACTCTAAGTCTAATTTCTTTCAAGTGCTAGAAATTTTACACACAGAAAGTGAAAGCTCTTATTTTTAAGAAGTATCAAGAAAGTAAATAACACAACTAATCCTATATAGTCAGTTTTTCATTGTTGTTTTCTCTTTAATGTGTGTTTTAAATTTTTAATTCACATATAAAACCTAAAACTAAAAAGAAAAACATCTGTCCTATTTAATATGATAAAAATGGAAACAAAAGTTTGTTTTACTTTTTTGTTGTTTTATTTTAGAGTAAAACAACTGTATGGTTTTAGATGGCAACCATTTGCCTAAAATAAATATTCCAAAATACTATAAATAATCTGTTAAACTACTGATTGTTCATTGTTTTTTCTTTAAGTATTTTATTGAAATAGTTCAGTTTACAAAAAAAGTAACCAAGTGCTCATTTAGTTTTATAGTAAAAAGTAAATTTAGACAGAGAAGGAGTCACTAATTCAAAATATATAATGGTTGCTAAAAATGAAGCCTTATAGCTAAAAACAACTTGTGACAATTGAGTAATAAGAGCTGAGTATGCCTCTTCACTAAAAAGGAATATGGGCGTTTTTGTCTAGAAAATATTTAACCAACTCTGCATTGCCTACTACTCTCAATCTCGTTTTCTCAATACTCAAAGAGAAAAATGGCCCATTCCAGATTTTCTCTATCTACTCTCTTTGCCTCTTACAACCATTTTGTCTAAAAAGATCACTAGTAAATGGCCTTGTTAAATGAAATGGATTTGTTCGCCTCTCAATCCTTATTAATCATGGACCTTTTCACAGATTCTTAAACTACTGGTAATATCTTTAAAAGTCTCTCTTCTTTGTTTCAAGAGGTCTGGCCACCTCTTCTTAAATCTCATCAATTTAAACGGCCCTTCACTCTGCTCTGCACTGCCTCTTGGAAGGTTCACATCATTTCACAGCTCCATGTCATACTCAAGTTAGCAATTTCTGGAGGCAGACCACTGCCTACTTTACCATTTACAAGCTACATGACCTTGAAGGGCTTTGTGATACAGCTCCTCTGTTACTCAGTTTCCTTAACTGCCAAACAGGAGTAAGAGCAGGGTTACCGTAGAGCTTAAAACATCTACTAGTGTTTGGTATATGGAAGAGCTCAATATGTGGTATTTAATAGTTTCAGGGGTTTTACCCTTGCCATTTTTATCCTTTATTATCAATACTTCTCCCCTCAAACTTGTATACCCTTTAGAAGTGTTCTAGTCAGATAAACAATACCAATACTTTTCCAGTTTGCTCCATTCAAACCTTTCCAATCGCCTCAGATCCCCCTATAGAAACTAAGTCCCTGTAACCATTCTCTACATCTTTCCCTTTTTATAAGTCAGTGCTATCACTGTTGCCCACTTAGAAGACATATCCCAACACTGGATTGCTCGCAACTTTGTAAATCAGCTATCTCGAGTCAGCTATCTCAAACCAACAAAAACTTCACACAGGTCATCTCCAGCCACAGTAAAGGAATCATACGAAGCAGCACTTTCCTGTCTCAGGCTCAATAAGCACTGTAGTCCATTTCCCCATGTACAAACTCTCTTTCTTCAGAGTTTTTTTTTAACTTTTTTTCTGGTTTTAACTGAATCTCCTTTCTCCTTCCCTTTCCTTTTCCAGCAGTATGGGGTATGGAACCCAGGGCCTCACATATGCTAGGTATGTGCTCTACAATTGAGTTGTATCCCTGAATCTTCCTATTTCAATCTCATTCAATTTTCTCTGCCTTGTTGTGAGCATGACCTTTTTGGGCTTCTGATCAGAAAAGTGTCCTATAGAACATGGCTTCCCCTCTCATAGGCACCTCAAAACACAAATGCAAATAAAATCAACAATGCATACATGCAAGATAAAAGTTCAAACCAGAATGTCTTCCAAATGTGAATAGTCACAAGGAGCCATAGATAGAAGCTTAATAGTCAATGCTAAAAGTTTTCAGACACATGTCAATATGTATATGTAACAATATATACAATCTGTCAAAAAAGAGTATAAGCTATATTATTCTTTCTTAAATGAACAGCATTTATTTCAGTAAATTAATAAGTATGGTCTTTAGCCTGAAACAGCCCAACATTATATGGTATTCATAAAACACCAAACAAATCCATTTATAAACTTGACCTCTAAAAACTCTTACAACAGTACACAGATTGAAACAGTAACTTACTTTCATACCTGCTCAAATATACAATATCCTAAGAATTATTTAACTATGTATATACACATATAGCTAACAGTTAACCATTCCAAAGATACCCATTGATGCTTAAGTAGTCAACAGACCTATGCCTAAGTAATCACAAGGACCTGATTTATACATTTTTATAAGCACTTCATGAAAATGTCAAGGCATGCAAAATACATCAGTATGAGTATTTTATATATAATGACTACAATAGGGAGGATTGTATCTATTTTTAACTATAATATGAATTTTGTAGTAATCCATTCATTTGATCCTAAAGTGTAAATCTTACCAGAAGCATCAAATTCTCTATTTTTGGATAATGGGGTATAGATTTGAAGATCTGATTTTAGCTGGGAAAAAGATATAACAAGTCTAATGACTAAACAGCTGCAGATTCTAAAAAGAGTTTTATATTATTCTGAGTTAGGCACTAATTTATGCTTTAAATTTTCCATCCAGTGATATACTTTTAGATGCATAAAAAGCAAAGCAATAATACTTAGAAAGCTGGTCAGTGAGTCCCTCATCAAGTGAAGGGTAGCAAGAAGAAAAATTTTAGATGCAATTTCATTTGCAGCAACTTTATGGCTTATCTATCTTCTTTTATCCCTTCAGAGAGACTGTAAGCCATACAAGGCACAAGTAAAGTATGGCTTACTCCTCCTTATAACTCAACATCCCCTCCACATAGCCACTAGGAATCAGAGTTCACATTCAGAGCTGGTTTCCCAAGAGCAGAGATTACTATGTTTATCCAATTTCCTTCTGGGCCCATCTTTCTGTCAACTAAACATATGTTATTATGAGGACCAGGTACATGTAAGAATTGTATTGTAAGTAAATGGGAATGGAAAAACAACATACTCAACTAGTAAAGTTTATTTTTACATAAAAAGCTGAAAGAAAGCTAAGGCAAGGTTCCAAAAGTACAAAGAAAAAGCTAACAGGTTGAAGTATGACAATAAGAGAAAAAAACTTGAGCTATTTGTATTAATATTAGGCTATTAGTAGCACATATAATTATGTACTATATACATGTATATGTATTACATATATGTATGGTGGATATATATATATATATATATATATATATATTTCAGAAGTCTTCAGATTTTAAAAGCCAAGATTAAGAACTGAATGCTATACAAACATAACCACAACATAAAAAGAGACATTATATTCATAAAAAAGTCAAATTTAACTTTGAAACTGACAGCTGATTTCCCCTGAGTAATATCTACCCAGAAATCCTATTTTTTAAGCTTCACAAATTTATTGTAACTCAAAGCAACTCATTAAAAGAACAGCATTTCATTAGGGAGCTTTCCATGTTTAATTTCAAACTGCAGTAATACTTCCTAATGAGATATTCAAGGTACTAAATTTATTTTCATTACAGTTATTTTAAATTTTAATCACCTTTAATTAAGAACCAATAGTATTCAAACAGTTTTTGAGACTCACTGACAAAGAGATCATCAGATAACATAAATTTTTTTTAAAATTTCAAACATCTAATATCAAGAATAGAAATCACTACATAAAATAGACTTGTGATCTAAACTAAACAACAGACACTAAATTTTATGAATCTTTAAATCCAAAAAGTAGGTCATATTTTGTATAATAGGAAAGAACAAACAAAATTATATCATCTTTATTTATAGACATATTACTATTGATAGATGATGAACAGATTCAAGAGTTTAAATAAGTTAAATTAAGTTGCTAAACTCTATCTCAGGCACAAACTATATCATTGTAAAAATCACAAAAAAAACCCCTTTGGTCTTAAAACTTTAGTGTTAGCAAATCATACACAAAATAACATGAAATCCAATATTAATACTCAGATCCAGTACATAATAAAAATCTTGACCTAACATTTAAAATTGTAACACCTACTATCTTATCTCTAAGCAAAACATGCTCACTACTAAGCAACAGCTATGGAAACTTCAAATAATTTTGCTGAATAATTTGTCATTATTATCAGTTAAACAATCTATAATAAGATTCATTTCAAGCCTGTTCCAAGGTGATCAACTATAGCTAGTAATTATAATCATGCACTATTATTCCATGTCCCAATCCATCACCAAAAGCTATCCACTGCCCGTCAAATTCTGGATTCAAATCCATTAAGTAATCCAAGTTACTAGGTCTACAAAAAAATCACTGAACAACACACTCACTTATAACATTTGAACATAGTTTTGTCACTACTTTGCTTCTCTTCTTCCCATCCTACCACCTTTTTCTCTTCCCATTAGGCAGCTTTTTACCTATGCACAGGCTGAAAAAATGAGCGTGTGATTGCAAAAAACTAATAATCACTTAACACGATCAAGCTTATTGAAAAGGTTTTTTACAGGTTTACATATCAGTTCTACTTCATTACAAGTCATCATCATAACCAGATGCTTTTAATTATGTGCCCACATGTACAGAACAATGTGTTAGTTTCAAAAAATCTAACCAATATTTTCATGTAAAAGCCATGTACTTGCCTTGTGCCTGCATTTAAGTACAACTCCATAGGCTCCTATAATAAGAAAGAAGTAAACAATCAGGGACATGTGCACAAATTACAAGCCTTGAAAAAAATCAAAGCTGTGCTACACTTATATTGCATATCAGTATATGCTATAATAATAACACACAAAATGACAGTATCCTAGAGTGCTTATACAATACTGAGCCATATGTAAGTAGAGAATAAATGTATTTTTATAAACTTTTTAAATGTTTCCATTTTTAAAAGAAAATTTCACTTGATACATGTTTTAAAGTCTTAAAACATTTTTTGAGACAAGTCTGGGTCATGAGAACTTGTAAGCAAATGAAAATTAACTCAAAAAGTTCTAGGGAACTTAAAAGCTAATTAATTTCCAAGAGTAAATTTAAGCATAAAGTATATCTAAATATGTTATCTGCCCTAGAAGTCACTTAAACCTTCTTCCAGGATACTGGAATATCCTTTTCATGTAGCAAAATAGTATAGCTCAAGTCTGGGACTGTATCTCAGTGGTAGACTGCTTCCCTAGCATTCTTGAGGCCCTGGACTCAATCCTCAGCATTTCAGTTAATTACTATAAGGAGTTGATACTTTTTTGCCATTAAAAAAAAACTCAGTTTAAGTGCACAGGTAACATAGCTATTATTTTATTTGGCGTATTTTGATAAGATTCACTCCTGTCTTTTGGGTTACTTACTGTCAAGGTAATAAGCTTACTTTCTTAGAGCAGAGCAAAGAGGCATACTTTGACAGCAAGAAACCCAGGAAACTGAAGTTAAAGTTATTAACATGAATAACAGAATCAAGACATAATATATGGTAATGGAGCTCTGAACAAAGCCAAGAACAATGGCATTAGTAGACAGGCAAAACCTATATGAAACTATGAGAAGGAGACTTTAGGAAGATAAAACGTGTCTCCAACAGTCCTAAAAGTTTCCTTCACTTTGGTGGAAATGGATGAATCTTATTATCATAGCTACGGTGGAACAAGCCATAAGAACCACCAAATTAACTCCACAATCACCAACAAGTACCCAGTTCTTCAATTCAATTATCCTAACTGCATCTGCCAGTTTTTCTATGAAGTGAAAATGCACTATCTATGCTATAGGAATAGTACAATGTGCTTAACAGATTCTTATATACTCCATTACTTTATATATTTTTTTCCTAAAATCCTCTGAAGTGGTTTACAGAAAATTACACTATCTATCTATCTATCTATCTATGACAGTTCTGGTCATAATTTACAATATTTGAATTTATATAGGTGTCTGACATTTTAGGTTACTCTAAGCCAATACTGAGAAGATGATCACCTATAGATATATGAGAAAATCAAGATTATGATCCAGAAAAACCTAGGCTCAGAATTTGGAAAGTGCTAGTTTTGCTGCACCCTATGTGCTGACTTTCTTCAGTCAACAGCTTTATTGCCTATCTGTAACTGCAATATTTCTGATATATAAAATTTTAAAAGGCAACTGTTATAAAGCAGTAGGTGAGAGATTCAAAATGAATTTTATTTACATAATTAATACCAATGAAAAGATGGAAAAACGAGTAGGCTAGTGAAAGAAGGACTTAGTCTTTTCATGTGCTATGAAGGTTAAAATGGATTGTCAATTTTATTAGGATGGGAGCTATCCCAAGGATTAATAAAGCACACTTCTGCATGGGTAGGTCCCAGAGACGTGATGTGGAGGACTGTATCTGTCCGTGGCCCCTTCATCTCTGGCACTTCTAATCTGCTGTGCTTCCTGCTAGGCATTAACTGAGCAACTGTACTCTACTACATCTTTCCACGAGGTCTGACTTGGAGTCAGGAGATCATGGACCAAATCCATTGAAACTGCAAGTCATATAAACCATTTTTGCCCTTAAGTTGCAGGTGTTGTATATTTGGTCCCAGCAACAGGAAAGCTAACTAGTACATATGGTTTTAATGTGAAACCTTGAAACAAGCACTCAATGATTAGACTCTGCTTTGTTTCCATTTATTTGAAAAGGATTTACCAAATTAGTATTAAAATCTTGAACAGCTTTGTTATTCCTCTAAGTTTTTAAAGCTTCTTTATAAATTCAAAATTTGAAAATATGAAACTTTTATAACAAACTATAACTATAATAACTTCTCTTCTATTAACAAAATCACTTATCAAGAGTTCCATAAAATTATCTTTAAGCTAAGAGCAAAAATTATTAAGCTGAAAAAAGCAGGAAGAAATGATGGCTTTTCTAGAAGTCAGCTTATGAAAAATGAATTACCATATTTTATCCAATCAATAATATCACTAGTTTGAAGAATTATTTTATGTACTATTAGGAAAGAAAATGTACTCTCAAATGATGATAGATCCTTATTAGGAGATGTTAAAATATGACCAAATTCTGTGCCTAAAAATTTATAAAATAAGGTTCATCATTCTCAATAAAATAAAATAAAAGCTATTTATTCACTTATTGACCATGTATTAAGTAAAATTTCACATACATGAACAAATTTTAAATTATTGAAAATAAACTTAGATACAAAAATTAACTTTAAAACTATCTTTAGAGTATACTTAATAAATCATAATAACTAATGATAATAAAATTAAGGCAGTCTTAAGAAATTTTTGATTGCTGAGCATGGTGGTACACACTTGTAATCCCAGCATTCAGGAGGCTGAGGCAGGCAGACTACTGCAAGTTCGAGACTACCCTTGGCTACAAGGCGAATTCAAGATCAGCCAGAATTGCATAGTAAAACTCTGCCTCAAAAAGAAAGAAATATTTGATTTATTAAACTTTTAAGAGTTTTAAAGTATTATTGACTTTCAAATAGAGTGTAAGACTCAAATAGTTATTTTATATTTTATACACTTAGATGAGTATCTGAATTGATACAGGCTCCACTGACAGGATCTAAACTGGTATATTTTGAGGTAGTAGGTATAATTGTATATTGCTCAAAAATTCAGGACAAGTAAAAATTCTAACTTACCTTCACCTACAACCCCAAGGATCTCAAATTTATTCATCACATTACCAATGTTAGGAATCTTCATGAAGACAAACTCCTCTTTTGATGTAAGCCACAAAACATGGCACCAAAAAAGGAACTTCTGAGAAAATTATATATAAAGTAGAAGAAAAATGTCCAAAGGAAGAAATTCTCAATGGTTGGCAGAAATTTTCACATATTCCTTTTAATAGTGAAATATTAAATGAGTCCCTGAAAGAACAGAAACAATGAAGAGCCATTAGTTGTATACTGCAGTACTCTAATAACCAACCCTACTTTTTAGTACAGTTTTTAAAACTCCCTATCAATTCTTCATATGCTGAAAAAAAGAAGAAACAACAATAATATGAGAAAAACCCAAACTGGAATGCACTTGCAGCACTTAAAATGAATACCATAATCATGCTGAAAGAGAAATCAAGGAGAAAGAATTAACCCCAGGCAGCCTTTGAAAACAGTACTTCAACTAACAATTTCCTCAAACTAAAAACAAAAAAAAAATAAACAAATATTGTACTCTCCCCCTTAGATATCTGTTTTTACACGGTGATGTGAAACTTCTCTATCTGTATTCTAGGAATGAACAAATTAAGAAAATATACTGTAGATAATGAGCCTTGATTTCTTATTCTCATAAAAAAGGAGTTATAAATATGAAGAGGGGAAAGCTTAACAATATAAGTTCAGCTTTCAATATCTAGAGCAGTAAAAACTGATATACTATAAATGATTACATACTCACATATATATATCCCCTCAGAGCTTCTAAAAGCAGTGACACACCACCAGTCATGAGCACAGCTAGTCCTCCAACAAAAGGATCCAGGTTCCTTGGAGAAATAGCTAATTCCAAGGCAAAGGCAAGGAAGCCACAACATGACGGTAGGGATAGTTTCTCTGTACTGCCATCAAGTAAGCAAATGCTCAAAGAATGATGGGATGTGTTAGATGGACACAAGAATTAACTTTAAGTGATTCCCACTAGTCAAATGAATAATTTTGGAATTGGAGCAGCAAAATAAATAAGGATATTAATAGATTATGATGTAGAAGAATAAAATCAAATTGCACAAATCTTTACTGATAAAAAGGAAAGCTCTTCTGCAGACTGTTATTCCATATAATAGATGCAGTGATGAAAGTTTTTTAAATCTCCATTTGGCTACTGCTCTGGTAATAATTATTTTAGGCAAGTATCATCACTATGTGCTAAAACAAGTAGTTCAAAGTGTGATGAAAAACAAGACATTATTTCATCTCAAAATATCTCCCCACAGGATACATATTAATTACAAAAGGAAAATAATAATTTCATACTGAAGAATCCTCCAGACACAACCTTAACTAAGTGATTAAAGTTAATATATTCAATAATGGAACAAACCAATATTAGATTCCTACTGATAGGATGTCATCGCATCATCACTTTGTTGGCATTTCTGTCAGCAATGTAAAACCTGAATCTAACCACAAAAAGTAACAGGTAAACCTAAGCCAAAAGATATTCTACTAAGTTACTGGCTTGTATTCTTTCAAAAATGTTGAATAACTTCCAGATTTTTAAAAAAACTAAGAGACATGCTGAATAAATACCATGTATAACCATGTATTTATTACATTAGATCCTAGAAAAGATAATTGAGAAAATTTAAACATCTAGAGATTAGCAATAGCATTATATCTATGAAAACTTTCTGGTTTTGATGATAGCATATGGATATGGAAAACAATGCTTTTGTTTTTAAGAACTAGTACCAGCAATTTTTACAGATAATGGGATATCATGTTTACAACTTAAGCTTTTCAGAAACCAAACATCAATTTCTATACTATCTGCTAGCAGGTTCTAAATTCCCTGCAACAATTTCATTCTCTTGAACGGTCTCACACTGTCTTGATAAATTTGATGCTATAGTATACGAAGTTAGACTCAAATATTTCAAGGAAAGAGTCACTATAGTAACTACTATTAATGTCAAGCTATCTGGGGGTGAAACACAATGATAGTTAAATTTTTCGATTCTGACCAGTGTTGTTATATTGATACGTTCTTTTTTTCTATCTCAGTCTCCTCCCCTTTTTCTTTCCTTTTTTTAAAAAAATTAATTTATTTCTTAGTATCTTTTAACTAAGGGAAAATTAAATTAAAAATAGTGCGATAGATTATAGTATTTTTTTTGTTTCCCTATTAACCTGATTTGAACCCCTGTAGTGTTCTCAATATCTTGTTCTGACTGATTTTATTATATTCTGTTTCGCTTAATAGTATCAAGTTTGAGGGTATAGGCAACCGTTTGGAAGGCAACCAGATATTCTATGATGCCCGTTATTATTTGACTATTATCTTCTTTGGAATCCTGTAAGCTCTCCAATGTGGTTTTATTGGTCTTATGTACAGTTTTGTTCAATTCTTTTATACTAGCTGATATAGGCTACTCTTTTTAGGATTACAAGAGGCATAATGGTAACCATTGTTGATCACCTAGTAATCCCCTCCTTTATTTTTTTATTTTTTTTTTCATTTTATGCTATGCCCATCCTCTGATCTAAATGACTCTGCTTTGCTTTGTCACATTGGGTTTTTCTTTGGTCCATCTTGCTTTGTTTTTTTGTTTTTTGGCCTTTTTTTTCAATCTTTTTTCTTTTCCTCTTCAAAGAAAAAGTTAAAACAACTTTGGAAGTAATGGAAACTAAAATGCGCGATTGTTAGTGTAAAAATGAGAGGAAGAAAAGTGATCTCAAGGATATAACTGCAAGTTTATTTAAATGTGTAGGAAAGAGAACCATATTGCTGAGTTTTTCTTGGATCATTGAACAGAACTGACTGCAATCTCACTGTATTAATCTCCACTTTGTATGCTTTAATTTTGTAATCTGGACAGCTGTTTGTAAGTTGACAATGTGTGATCTATTAACTGGTGAACTCTTACTGTATGTTTTTTCTCTTGAAATTCTGTGTTGCTTCTAGCCTTTTACTGTCTTGCTTCATTTAGTTTTGTTTTTCTCTTTAAATAAAAAAAAAGCTTTTCAAAAAAAATACATACGTGTACATGGCACAAAAGCAAGACAATGATAAAGCAAAAACAATAAAATGGTAACATTTGAAAACTCCCAGCTGGCCATGGTGGCACATGCCTGTAACCTCAGCACTCAGAAGGCTGAAGCAAAAGGACTGCTCCAAGTTCTAGGCCACCCTGGGCTACATAGTGCATTTAAGACTAGCCTGAACTGCATTTTGAGACCCTGTCTCAAAACAGCAACAGCAAAAAGAAAATCTGGATCAGGGATACAAGAAACACAAAATTCTTTATACCATTTTTGTAATTTTTCTCCAACTCTAAAATAATTTCAAAATAAATTCTCTTATTTATTTTTCTTTTTAAGACAATACCTGTTACCCAGACTGGCTTCACACTGGCCATTCTCCTGCCTCAGCTTCTCAAGTAACTGGATTACTGGCATGTACCCTAGTGCCTAACAATAAATTCTTTTAATTAATTAAAAAAGCTATCCTATTTCCATAAAGAATAATGATGGTATCAGCATAAAATGTTGGTTTAAAGTAAAGAAAGAAATCTAAACAAAGAAATGTTCTTCATTGCCTATAAAATTTGAAACTTTAAAAAAAATAAGTAGACCATATATGATGCGGATAAGTACTAACAAGATGTGCCCCTTCAAACAGGGAGAATATAAATGGAAATAATCTTTCTAAAGAAAAAACATGTCCATAATCAAATGATTTTAAAATGTTCACATTCTGATCAAGGTATCTAACAAAAGCCTACAATAAATACTCTCAAATGTGAAATATCAGACATCGTCTCTAAAATTAAGAACATGAGAGGTCATGGTGGCCCATGCCTATAAGCCCAGGTACTTAGGAAGCTGAGGCAGGAAGGCTACAAGTTTGAGGCCAGCTTGGGCAACTTTGTGAGATCTTGTCTCAAAATAAAAAAATAAAAAGGGAAAAAGGGCTACTAGGAGTGTGGGACTAGGGATTTAGCTCAGCGGCATAAGTGCTTCCCTTGCAAGTGTGTGGTCGTGAGTTCGATCCCTGGTACCAATAAAAAAGAAAAAGACAAAAAAAAGGGCTAGGAGTGTAACTTACTGATAGAACATTTGTCTAGCATGTATTAGCCCCCAAGTTCAATTCCCAGTTCTAGAAAAAAGTTGTTCTAAGAACATGATAAAGAATTCCACTGTTAATATTCAATATGATTATTAAACATTTTGGTATGTTCTAGCCATCACAGTACAGAAAAAGTAAATGAATAAAGTGTAGAGGATCAGAAAGAGGAATACTAAGCAGAACTTGCAGATATTATTGTCTACTTAGAAAACTCAAAGGAATTTACAAAGTATTAGAATAGTAAGTGTTTAGAAAATATCTGAGCATAAGCTTAATATACAAATATCAATTACATTTATAAACAGAAACAGAAAATATTATTTTTAAAATCACATTTATGGTAACAGTAAACAGGATTTAACATGATAAAAGATATTCAAGAGCTCTAATCAAGTATATATAACTTTATTCAAAGGTATTAAAGAAGACTGAAATAAAGCAATTATCCATATTGAAAGCTAGGATGCTTCAGTACTATAATGATGTGGATTCTTTTCACATTGATCTATACAATTAGTGCATCCTAATCAAGACCCTAATTTGGTTCTCTGAGGATTTAAAAATGTTAATTTTAACGTATCTATGGAAGAATAGAGTTTTAAGTATAAACAACAACCTCTTCTTCTTAAGGAGAAAAGAATTTAAAAATGAAAATAAGAATAAAAGAAACAACACTTGGCCTTGAGAATAGGATCTGGCTGGATGCCCTAAGGAACATGTTGGGGATAATAATGGAGCTATGGAAATTAAGACAGGGTGGTTTGGGCACTGAGGTAGATAAATCAGCCAGTAGAACAGATGTGAAATCCCAGAATAAACCATACTGAAATATTCCTATAACTTCTTACTGTCTTGACAGGAGTCTGAGTAGTATTTTTTTTACAGGAAGTCAGATCATACCACTTTTCTCATTTAAAATCCCTTACCAGCCTCCCACAGCACTATGAATGAAATTCACAGGCCTGGATCTTCCCTCCTGATTCCATCTCCTAGCCTCTCCCTTAGCTTGCTTCACTCCAACCACACTGACCTCCTTTTGCTACATTTATTTCACAAAATTTAACTTTAGCTTAATGAGTTTTCAAAATAATTTTATATTTAGTGTAGACGATGTCATAATTAAAAAAATATTAAACAAATCACTCCTATCTCCTGGGTTTCATGGACTGGGTAAATAAAACATGGAAGACTGCTGAATGAGATAGGCAAGGTTCTCGTCCTCATCAAACTTTACATTTTTTGAGAGAAAAAAAAGAGACTATCATCCAGTACTGATACGTGTTATGAAGGAGGAATAAAGACTGATTACTCAGACTGGGAGGGTTCTCTAAAACAGGTGACATTTGAAATTGAAATGACAAGAAGCAATCAGCTGTTTCAAGAACCACATCAGTCATATTCCAGTTAAAAGATGTTCGGAGTACTTCCGAGCATGAATCATTCTTTCATTTTCTATGGCTGGTTGGAAAAACACCCAGGAAACATTGAAATATTCTATTCTCTGCTAATAATGGTATGGCTCATTTCAAAGGAAATGAGATAAAAATTAAATCATTCCCACTAACAAGACCCAGAACCCAAAAAGTTCTGTATATAAATACATATGAAGAACATTTGGTCCTAACTCATCTCTGCAGCAATCAAAACATAGCAATGTAAACTGAGAGTTTGAATTTAAATATGTTAGTGAATACATAACATAGGTGACAAGAATGGTCTTTTAACTACCAATATTCATACTAAGAAAAAATTTTATGCCAAATTGGATTTAGTTGCAATTTTATATGAATAACAATGATTAGTCCTTACAAGGAAAAAAAAACATTATAAAAACTGACACACTTTAGCTTCTGGTAATGGAAAATTACATAACTTGGATGAAATGTCCTTTTGAGGACAAATACAAATGTTTGAGAAAACACTTTTTAAAAGCAGCTCAAAAGCTCTAAACACTTAACAAGGTTGTGAAGAATTACCTGGCTAAAATCAGGCAGAAGAATAGAACTCAGAAAGGAAATCCAAACCACCCCAAGCTGTTTTATCTCTTTTGGTATGCGACGATCTAAAGAAAATAAAAGAAAAAACAGGCTGTTCTTGAAACCTTTACAGATCCAGTAGTACAAAATCAAAGCCAAGGGTGTTTCAAAAGGAGAAGTTTTGCTAAAAGGAATTAAGATGCATTATGTACATGTACCAACTCCTCACAACTAAAATTATATACTCGCAAATATACTAATAAAATCCTTTTAAATGTTAAGAATGTAGCTGGCATGTTAAAGAAATAAAGATACTTACTTCTTCTCACCTCACCAATAGAAAGTTTGATAAACCACCACTCATTTGAAGTTCAAGTTCCTAAGAGCTACAGTCCCAGGATAAGAGAAACTGCAATAAATCAGTCCTTAGACAGACTTTAATTGCAGCTTCATATCATCTGGGTGACCTAGATAAAATCTCTAGATGTACCTTGGCTAAAGGTGGTTTCACATTCAGATTATTAATGTTACCAGTTATCAGTCTCAAGAAAGAAGTGAAGTGTAATTCTCTGCAGGAAGATGGCTTCAACTTAAGCCTCATAATATTTATTATTTACAGTGTACAGTACATAAACAAAGATGGCCAGGTACATAAGGTGAGGTAGCACAAACAAGAACCAATAATAGCACATGAAACAGAAAATGACTCAGAAAGACAATATTACAATGATCAAGAATGGTCTACAGAATAATTCTAGGATTAAAATAATAAAAACCAAGACTTTACCATTTTGAAAAAAACTTTTCAGAAAGTGAAAAATGAAATTTGAAAAACAAATTACAATTTCAGAAAGAATAACACAAAAAGAAAATTTGAACGTTTTTAAAATTTGATCAAATAAATATATATAAACCAAAGCAAATAACTGTAGAACCCCCAAACAACACATATAACGTCTATAAAAATATATCATTTGGTAGGTCATGATACAATTCAAAACAAATTACAAAGACTCAAGTAGAAGATATTCTTTCTCCACAACTAAAATTTATAAGAAATCAAACACAATAGAAATAAATTAGAAAATATTCATATGTGAAACTAATAAATACATTCAAGGATAATCTATTAGTAAGTGAAAGAAGAGATCATAATGAATTTAAAATAGCAAAAATACAAATTCATGGGAAGAAGTTAAAGAAATGCTTAAGGAGAAAATTGAGAATTATATGTAGGTCTATCAGATAATGTAAATAACTGAAAATAAATGAACTAAGCATCAATCTCAAGAGGCTAAAAGAGAACCACAAAACAAATCTGATAAAAACATAAAGAAATAATTCAGGGCAGAAATTCATGAAATAGAAAACAGATAATATCTTCAAAATCAATGTCAGAACTCATTAAAATGAGATGGTGGCACACATTTATACTACTAGCTACTAAGGGGACCTAAGAAGGACAATCTGACTTTGAGGCCAGCCTAGGCAACTTGGTGAGACTGTTGTAAAATTTTTAAAAATGGCTGGGAGTGTGGTTCAGTGTAGAACACTTGCCCAGCATGGACAAGGCCTTGGTTCAATCCCCAGTACAGACAGAGATAGAGACAGAGACAGAGACAAACAGAAACAGCAGAGAACAAACAAAAAAGACAGACACAGACAGACAGACAGATAAGACAGAGAGAAAGAAACAAAGTCAGGTTACTTGTCAGGGTGATCTTGGCCTCATGACATCCAAAAAGAAGAACTAGCCATACAAGGTCATACTTCTAACCCACAAACTGTGAGCCAAGGTATGTCTGTCCTTGTAAGAGGCTAAACTTATGTTAATCTGTTACACAATAGAAAACTAATATAACAGCACTGTTTCACTGTTATACAGTTTTAAGACAGATAGAACTGAGCTAGAAAACATATTAAGTAGCCATATGCAAGCAGCAAATCAGTAAAATGATAACCAAAGTAGTAGTTATCACAAAAATCAGGATATGAATTACCTTTACAAGGCAGTTAACATTGAGAAGAGATACAGAAAATGGCTTTTTAGGATTTTTCTATTTTTTAATTAAGTGGATTTTTCTATTTTTTAATTGCCTGTTTAATAAACATTTACTCATAATTATTAAAGTATGTACTTATGTTTTATGTAAATATTATATTCCATAATAGTTTTTTAAAAGATCTCCTAATAATTTTAATGACATCATATAGTTTCTTGGTCATTTATATAGAAGTAAAAGATAATTTTTATCAGACAAAGCACTCAGATATCACATTAAACAAGAAAGTTTAACTATACTCTGTCTCTCCAAGACTGAGATGCCACATAATATACTATGTCAAATGCTGAATACAATAGCAACAAAACCGAAAGCTGCAAGGGACTGTTAACCTGAATTTTGACCACTCTTCTAAAACTATGCCAAATGAGGAGCTTAATGAGGAAACTGGGTTTAGCCACAGTGAAAGATAATTTATATCCAAATATTTGAAGACTGCAAAAAAGAGTAAAGTAGGGTGGGGCCAGAACTAAGATTAGTGGTAGAAATAAAAATAAGACAGATGTCAGTTCCACAGTGACTGGACAATGATCAGCCATCAATAGTTATTCATTCATGTTTGGTATCTGTCCTATTTGTCAAGATGCCTGTAATGGTCCAGCCACTACTTGTAAAGGCTTCAGGGTACAATGGTGAACACTACAGCGCTGGCCCTTGATCTCATGGAGCTGACCCAGGAGAAGAAAGCAATAAACACACAAACATGATGATTTCAGGAAGTGACAATTATAAAGGAGAGAAAAGCAAGTCTTGAGAAAAAGGTATGGGTAGTTAGGAGAATAAAGTCCTTTAGATACGTGATCTGGGAATGGTTTGTATTTCTGAGAAATCCTTTTTCATGTACAGAAGCAAGCCATGAGCACAGGGCTATGAGAAGAGTATTCAAGGCAGTACAAAGAGTCTTAGAAAGCTTGATAAATTGAAGGAACAGAGAAAGCCTGTACATCTGAAACAGAGCAGACAGGGAGGAGACCATCAGATGGCAGGAAGGGGTGGCTGTAAACAGTTTATTCCTGAGAAAAAGGAGTTTTGTACTGAACTACATGTCCTCTAAGGTACCTTCCAAAGTATAGATTTGGCATTACTAACCATTAACTTTGTAAACAAATAACTGCATGCATTTTGAAGTGGATTTGTGCCACACTAAGAAATATACCTACAATTAAGCAGTCTTGTCTCTGCATTGGCAAGTAAGTAGGTAGCTACAAAAACTGACAGAAAGGTAAGGTGTATAATTTATTTCATAAATTATTAGTATTGAATTTAAGAGTTGCCTGGGCCTTGAGAGTTTCCTTTGTTGGTGAAAGCATAATCTTCATCTCAACCAGTCTTTTCTTCTTCTCAAAGAGAGTACAAAATCAATTGAATCATGAAGTTTTTTTTTTTTTTTGTTCTTGGCATTGTTTTTATACATACAAATGAGAGAACCAGTTTGTCACTGAAAAGTGCACAGAAATAAATTTGGTACATGACTAAATTTCTATTATAATAAGACAGTTCAAATGGTTGAAAGCATCTTACAATTCAGGATCTATGTATGGAAGGTAACCGTTTCCATGGGAAGCACAGGCTTGTGGAAAATAATCCAACTAATTACCTTCTCATAGAGACCTCTCCACATTGAATAAAAACAAAGAGATAATGTATTCCTACTTAGTTTTCATCCTAGATGGAGCCATCTGACTTGTAACTAATAGGATCTTCATTTTGCTTTATTCTCCCAAAAGTGAACAGCAATTTATCAGTCCATGCCCCATGATTCATCAAACATACTTGAATGTCATGAATTATATACAATTTACTAGCACAAATGTTTGAAAACTACCACACACGCATTTTGTCCTATCTGTAAAATGCTTCTTCAAGGTAGGAAATCCAGTAGCAATGTAATACTTCTCCCAGCACTGCCACTCCTACTAAACTCACAGCCCTTTCTAAGAATCCAAGGGTATTGGGGTTCGGATTAGAAAAAAAAACCTAACATAGGATGAGAGAAACTCAGATTTCATAGTAACATTGCTCCGTTTAAGATAATTTATTGGTTTTAAAGGTCTTAAAGGAATCTGTATGAAAATGTAAGGATCAATTTTTACATGGTTACAATGAAGTGATATGGTCAAAATTCCAAATTCTAAATAACTGAATTTAAAATGGACTACCTAGATTTTGCATCAGAAAATATGATCTAAGTTATTGTCCTATAATCCAAGAAAAATAATCTTCACATGATAAAAGATGGAAGGAACTGTAGTACAAGACAGTGAAAGAAAACCTGTATGTTTTAACTGAATTAAGGACAACTGGCAGGGATAAATATGAAACTCCTGATACTTAGTAATCTTGGGAAAGTTATAAGGAAAAGGTAATGAGACCAAAGATAAACCAAGAGCAAATGTAGCCATATGTTTTCACAAAGGGTAAAGTGGTACATTCTATAAATTTTCTACCTGTTAATTTATAATTAACCTATCAAATCATTCAATAAATGTCTTGAGAAGTAATCATATGCTATGAACTACAATAGACTCTAGGGATGTAACAGTAAAGGAAACAGACAAAATTCATTAGCTCATAAAGTAATCAAAGAATCACGCAATAAGTGTGAAATAGCAAATACTGTGCTATGAAAGATATAAGATACAAGGAGGGCTCAAGATAGGATTTTACTACATAAATAGGAAGAGTTGGCTCTTCTATAGAACACAATGAATGAGTTGATCGCTGGATGATAATCAGACATAACTTAGGGAGGAGAAAGACACTCCAAGAGAATGATTTATTTAGAAGTCCAAAACGAGGAGGTAAAGAACACAGCAGACAGTAAGAGGTTCAAAATGGGGAGGGTTAAAATGATGGGGTAATGAATAACCTAGTACAACATAAGGCTGGGAAATAGTCACTTGTGCTAATTTTAAGTAGTATAATCTTTATAATTGGACATAGGAGCCACTGGAGAGTTCTGAACAAGAGTGGGAAATGATGGGTTCAGGGGTAGTATGATGATTTTATGATTCATATTTTGA